CGTGTACTTGACACACAGGAAGCAAGTCAATTTACAAGTTTTACTCTGATGCTTATATGTTACCCAAAATAGCATCGATTAATGCAAGAAAAAGATTGTTCGAATCAAGAACACGGTTAACAAAGTTCAGTCGGTCATAGGTTACGGATCGGGCGGACAGAGTGAATATTTCCGTATGACGCAATATTATTGATTGATCTCCGCGAGATTAGTATTGATTCGAGATGTCCCTAATTGAAAATACTCAAAAAATAGGCAGTTTTAGGTAACAAATAATCTTTTTACCTGACAACCACACAGCCCCAACAAAACGATCACAGCACAGATTACACTTCACGAGCACTAGTAGCGTTCTCCGAGCTACGTAAGCAAGAACGCAGTCGGTGAGTAGCGAGCCGGTAGTTGACACGCACATAGCAAGTCAAATGTGGTGTTAGACCGTCTGCTTATACGTTGCTCCGGTTTCCGGACCTTGAAGTTCGATACATAAAATGAGAATTTACAAAACGGATCAATCAGCGGCCACCAGCTAGCGGTTGACGCTGGAAACGGAAAAGAAACCAAAAAAAGATTTAAATTATAAAAAAGTATATATAAGTTGTAATTATGAAAACATATCGATGTTGGTATGGCTGAGATAAGCTGACGTTTCTTTTATCGTGGGTAACCTTCAGCAAGGCGATTTTACAATTTAAAATGCTCAAAAAATTGACAGTTTCGGGTAAAAGTTGTCCTTTTACCTAGCAGATAGACTATCGGTGTTTGATCACCACTGTCTGTCTCGCATTGCACGACTGAGGCGGGGTAACCAAACAAGCAATGCCGAGGTTAGGCTCAGAAATATAGGTTACTACGGTCTACCACTGGAGGAAATAGTTGAGCGCCGTAGGTTACGTTTAAAGGGAGGGGGCATGTGCGGCGCATGTCAAAATAGATTGCCGCAACGCATGCTGCTAGCCATAATGGATGGGAAAAAATCAAGGTTTGTCAAGACTGGGCACGAAGATATGGAAACCTTTACCAGGTGGCCTACTCACATGAGGTGCGTTAGGTTTCCTAGATGGGTACCTCGGGATGATCCAAATCGAGATCTCCAAGGAACATTGAAGAAGCCCGTTTCAGCTGCAGTATCCCCCGAGTTTCTTCCGCTGTTCGAAGAACCAATTCCAGTAGCCGTGGTGAGTTATCCTGACGAATCTCCCCTAACCTGAAAGCCAGTTTCATCCTTGTCACTGCTGCAGTTTCCGCGTCGTTACTTGCAAACAGCTTCATATGCGACCGCAGTTCATGGTCCAATTTGGCCTGCGCCGTGATGGCCTCAGCTTCAGGAAGATTGACTGCGATGACATATTGCGACCGTAATACAAACATCAACTGCTGCATAGGCTTCTGGGAAGCGTGGGGCACTTTTCATTCGAGGTCGAGGCTTTGGCAATGTAAATGTCGATGAAACCGAATCTGTTTTCGGAAGCGATTCAATGGTTAGTGGCATGCTCCGTTTCTTCTGCTACCTCCATCGCGAAGCAAACGCTGTCATCCGTGAATGGGTGTAAACAGCGTTAGTTATTGTAGGAGCCACTGGAACCGGTGTTTGGGGTTGGATAATAATAAGAATCAGTGTTAGAATTTTGTACACGCTTCACGTCAATCTGTTCGCATCGGAATTGACAATTTGGGCCTTAGAACTCCTTAACAGAGTAACTAGAACTCGATGATTTATGCAGTTTGGCGCATGTTTTGTCCGATGCAGGTTCGAGAGTTGTGGGAAATATTGCCTTGCCGCTGTACGTGGTTTTTTCGCTATTCCATGTGCATACTGATTGCGTTCCCGTCAACTTTTTCGCACCCACAGGAATGGCACCTCGACAAACGGTCGCAGAAGTGGAGAAAGGTTATCGGTTGCCAAATCCCAGCTCCTCCGGTCATCGCTGTCCAGATGATTTGTACAATTTGATGTTGAAGTGCTGGGACGCACGACCGGAGAATAGACCTACTTTCCGATCACTTAATGATGTGCTGGAACACTGGTCCAGTCATACCGAAACGCAATATTTGGATAACTGAAAGACCCCTCTAACTAGTTCAATTTTCTGCGGCCTATGGGCCTTTTTCATTTTGTTCACTTTTTTATTTCGACACTCCGGTGGAAGGATTCACGAGGGTTGTTCCCTATGGTCACCGAAGCTTGATNCTTGATCGCTTTCCCAACACTCGGTAAGTTTGCGGTGACCCAGAGGCCAAATCTGTGAGTGTTTTAGCCTGTACATAAATAGACTTGACTTCTACCTCTTTTCTGGCTTCTTCAGCCTCCTTTGGTATCCGTTATCTTGCGCCTTTTGCGTCTTCGTGTAAATGCCCGTTTGCCCATGATCAATCTCGCTTCCATGTATATGCGCACCCCCTACCCAAAATTCTACCTTTTTTGTACCGCATAGCTTCTTTTGCTGATCTTCTTTTATTCGGTTCTAATCTGGAGACCAGAACAGCGTATTCGTCCTCGACCGTCGTTTGGTACCTTCTCTTCTGGCGACTATAGGCAACCTTTGCTTCATCACTCTTGCATTTTGTTTCCTGTTAAACGCTCTTGTCTGTCTATTGCCCAAGTTTGTTCACATCATTCCCACCTCTTCCCTTTTTTCAGTTCACGTGCGTTGATTTTGCCCCTTGCACTGTTTAATGAGCAATGATAACTATGTCCGATTTGGTATGGTTATTTGTAATAACTATTTCCTCCCTTTACAGTGTCCTCCATTTTGTGACACCGGGTGGTTTGCGTTGCGTGTGTTTGATTTATATTCTTCCAAAAAGACATTCATTTGTGAATATCGTATTGGTTATCCAGGTCGCTGTTTTCTTCTGTCACGACTGATCGTTGCGATGCGCGCCTCGATTTACTCGTTCGCATACGTCTGGTGGTTCGATAATTTAGCATTTTTCGGGGGAGCATGCGCCTAAGTGTTCGGAACAATTTCCCTACGCTTCACTTCTTGCCACAAAGCGTTCTCACGCCCCCATGGCGCTTTGAATCCGTCCGATATCACTGTTGTTCACTCTCCACCAATTTGCTCAATTGCCTTGCTTGTCACGTACTTTGTTTTCTGTCCGTATTTGGTTGTTTTCCTAGTGACCGGTAGTTGGTATTTTCATCGTGACTCCTAATCTTACCTCTCCCCACTCACATTACTTGATCTGAAAAGTCAATGCACTTGCACATAACACATTTACTCGTCTCTGCATATATACGAAGATTGTTAAATTTGTGTCACTACTTCTT